AGATTAAGTAATCAATAACTTGGCATCTTTTTTTCTTAGCCAGGTAAATAATATTAATTTAAACAAATGTAAAGTGGAAAAACACAGTGTTGAGTAGTTTAATTCATTCTCAGTTTCATAAGTAAGTAGACCTTTTTTTAAGTAATAAAGCCATGGTATAAGATCATTGTTTTTTTTGGTGTTTTTTTAGTAAGAAGTTTCAGGGTTTGCCTTTATAATCATGTTTTTTGTGTACCAGGCCCCTATGAAATGAGAGAAAGTAGATGTCAACCCAGTGAAGGGTCCTGATGGTAAGTTTAGTATCCCACAAAAGGCAATTAACTCTATTCACACAAAAAAAGATTGGACTCAAAGAACCAGGAGAACATGGATATTTAAACTTTCCTCTGAGACAGTAAATTGAAATTCTTTTGGATCAAAACTTTTGCAACTGATTCTGTAAGATATTTAACTATGTAATTTTCTTGTGAAGAAATGTGATTTTACTAAAATTATCCCCTTTTTTAAAAAATAAAGTTTTCAGAAAGTGTTTACACCATTATTATATGTTTTAGAATAAGAGGGAAAGGTTTCCCCGGCAAATCAAATGAATAAGAATAGCTTTGTCCTGAATTACAGATAAGGTTTAGAATTCCTGGAAACTGGTATAACTTTGTGATGAATGATAAATCGAATGATATATTGGGATTCACTTTTTTTTTATTGGTACTGTTACGTCTCCGTTTGTTAATTAACTTTCCGTAACTTCGTTCCGACGAAACTTTAACGACACAAGTCTTTACTTAATAAAACTGGTTTATTCTTTCCGAATATAACTTTACGATACACTTAATTTCAATATTCGCGCTAAAACAAACACTATAACGAAAGAACGTTAACTTCAACAATACCCTGTGACTGCAGTTCAATTACTCACTATCTACTCACACACATTACATTATCTCGTCACGTTGTCACCCTCTTTTATATACAAGACTACCCTATCTAGTAAATGCTAGGGCATTCATGAAGGAACAAGATAGTTCTAGAAACTAGAGGGCGTGAGAATAGTCACGTGATCTCGATGACGCAACAGTATGTTACGTCGACGAATTGTAACAAATATTCAAATAATGTTTCTTTTGTGATTTCAGGTCTCCTATCTACCGTCCAGGACAATATTATCCAAGTTGATAATCTGGGATTTCTGGCAACTGTCGATAAGCCTAAGCGATGCGTGGGAAATAAGACGTTAACACCACCATCGCTGTAATTGTTTCGTGGACTCGAACTTATCAAGCATTATAAAATATTTTGGTTTACGTCTAATGTTGCTGCTAGACCAAGAAAATACTGTGGATACGTAAGCCTAACAACACCAAAATAAACAGAACTTTTTAAAAGTGCATGCAACGCCTAACGACTCTCCGGAGTCGGACGTATTTAGTGTGTTTACATCTAACGCCTTTCTGGTGTATCTAATAGCACTGTTTGAACAATGTCTAAATTATACTTACACCTAACGGCAAGTAATTAGTGTGTTTACATCTAACGACGCTAGGATCTCGGACGTTCTTTGTGTGCCTACACCTATCAGGAAGTTAGTTGTTTACACCTAAAAACTGTTTTGTCCAATCATACCTAACAACTCTTGTGCCACATCAATACTTGATTAACCTACGCAATGACGCTAAAGCTAAGAATATTGTTGTGCGCAAGTGAATGACGAAAGTATTTACATTTAGAAACAGCAGAAAATATGGCAATAAAAAATGTTCTATTTACCCAATGACGTCAGAAGTGATCGCTAGTCTCTGTTCAAACCAAGTATTTTTAATGGACATCCTAGAACTACGAAGTTTACTAAGCCTAGAACTGGTGCTGTTTCGTATACGTGAATGATACCTGTAATTAAAAGGACAGAGAAAGAACACGCCAGTAGGGTAACCATTCTGTTCATTTCTTTACGTTGAAAAATATCCAAGAAGTCAACATCTTCACCCAACTTAAGGTAGCCAACCGATAGGGGGCGTTGATGAATCTTGGGAAGAAACACTTCTTTCCCGGTTATTTGTGAGATAAACCGAAACTAAAACTGACCTCGTGGACAACGTGCACGTAGAGTGTGCTCACTTTTTTATCTAATATATTCATTTGATTATTTTAGTGTAAATGTTATACCTTTAAAAGTTAAAACGGTATTCCACATAACTGGTAACCAATCTAAATTATTTAGTATTGTTACGTAGAGGTACGTCTGTCTAGCTCCCATAAAGTTGGGAGGGGGTTGGACGTGACCTAGAATTTAGCGTGGCAGACTATGGATCTGAGGATCCTTGGTTATTATCCCGTTGACGCAAGATCCCGCTTGCACTTTAAGGTCATGGATGCGTTCTAAGAGTGACGCTGAAATCCAACTATTCAATTAAAGTTATCCAAGAAGTAGCAGTGGGTACTGTTGACTGACTGACTTACCTCTAGTCTATCAATTTAAAATTAGGGCCTGCTTGCGTAGATAGTATTTTAAGTAGCTTTGCGCGAATATCCGCAAAAACAAAACAACAACGACAAAAAGTTGTCGAAGCCCTGGGACAAGTTAGTAACAGCCCAGTTAAATGTTAGACATGAGAAGGCGTTGACACAAAGGATGAAACTAGTTCGTGTTATGTTCTTACTTAAAATATTTCTGTTCAACGCGCAGGGACATGATCACATTATAGAGATAAGTAAAAAATAAAGTAAAACAAAAACACAGCTCAAATGGGATATATAAGAGAAGCCCATTTAATCAAACAACTTAAGTCCCCAATTAACAAGGCGTGGGTTGGCTTTGTAGTAGACCCCCTAGATTTCGAACCCTTGCGATTTCGCAAAATATTACCATAAATTTAAGCTGTGAGTCGTTATAAGAGTGACAATCAATTCTTCAACGTAGATGGCGGGTGTTGCTGACTGGCTGTCTTTTCTTCGGTTAGCATAGGCGCCCACAGAAATAATTTCGGGGGGGGGGCAAAACATGTATGTAGGGGATCAGCTTCTACAGTGTAAGTCAACAGACTAAAATAATATGTGTTATGTGTGCTTAAACGCAAACATAAATTTACAGTGTTAATAAAAAAAATACCAAAAATATTTAATTTAACTGCGATGTTAAGTTTACATCATAATACGTGCAATTTTTTGTCAAATGTAGGGGGTGGGGCAAATACCCCTTCTTGCCCCTTCCTGCGGGACGCCAATGTCGGTTATTAATTCAAAATTTTCACAATTTGAGACGGCAACAAATAAATAAAAAACATGAATATTACAAAACATGAAATAATGTTAAATAATTCTCAGTTGAAGTTATATGTATATATATATATATAAAGTGTGGCACTAAGACGAATATACCCTCTTTACTACAATTACAACATCTTAATAACGCCATCTATGTAATTATTTTTTATCCCATATTTAGCATGTTTTTTGGTTTGTTTTTTGCTAAAAACTTTAATGGTGGCATGTTATCCCAGTTTGAAGTCATAGAGGTGTCATATACATTTCTGTATTACGTAAAGTACGAGACACTTTAAAAATAGGAGATAAAAGAAGAGTTAAAATGTGTCGTGTTCCATGCACCTTATTCATTAAGTTATCCTAGTGACGAATGATCGAACTAAATACTAAGACTTTTAGTTAGTGATCTGCTGAATTTATGGTTTCTTTAACGTGTTTTTTTTTTATTAAACTTTTTACTGAAATATTTAACTTTCCAAATATAACAATTAAAAACAACTCAAATAGTACGTTAATCAACAATTTTCCAATTTTAATGTTGTTTTTTGGATCAGTAAATATGATTTTTATAGTAATTTCTGTCGTTGTTTTTAAAATACAAAAAATTGCTGTATTACGATGAACAACTTTGTTATGCTGTTTGTAGAACAACGGTAGTTTATCCGTCCAAAAGAAGAAGCAAACAAAAAATAAAGTTATTTTTGATGATTTTTGTTTCATTTTGGATTTAATTTAGGAAACCGTTTCTTATAAGTGAACTACGAAACATTACACCGTTTTTGTGATCACGAGCTAGGCTTAATGCAAGTTTCAAATTTGTAGTTGTTATTCGTAATTTGGCGATATTTTTCTCCTTAGTTTTAAAATTGTATATAATCTTTAAAATATAGAATTTATAGTACTAGGAAGCCTACTCATAACAGTATATCTATAAATAAATAAATGATAAAGAGGCCAACATCCGTGGACGAAAGCAATGTGTGTCCGCCATGTAATCACAACATGGTCAATTTGGACACCGGAAAAAATCGAAAACTGTCTATATCATTGTTTGGGACCTACAAGAAGGTATCTTTGTACCAAATCCCATGTAACTTGGTTGACAAACAAGTGAATAGTTCACAAAAACCCTAAATTGTGGTTTTCTTCGCTGAAAAATTGAGCGAAAGACAAAAATTCCAAAACTGTCCATATCTCTGTTTGGGACCT